ATAGAGGTTATAAAAGGCTTTTAAAAAAGTTATTAACATTTATAAAACGTTATTTTGAAGGTTTTTATATGACTTATAAAGTTTCTCACTCTCAAATTTGTTTCAAATGCTACATTTTTTGCTGTTAGATGAAAGAAGCGAAAATTTACCGTTTTTTGACCTTAATTTGTTAATAATTAATAAAGCCCAAAACATCGACTGCAGGAAACATATAGGTTTTTGTTACAGAGATCCATACTACTCAACACAACTGTCGTTTGCTTGGCCGGTTTAGTTTCACATACTGTGTAATTTTTTTGCGTATTTCCCTGGCCTAAATAGACTGATTGCTGCAATACAGTCGCGTTCCCCCCGTGCGACAAAGAAAACTGACGCAAAGTAGTCCTTGAATCTCTTTCTAATTGGCCAGGTTTATCGAGCACGTGACCTAAATTACCAATGAGAAGGTTAAATTACACAGAGACGCAGAGCCTTGTTGATTTTTGTATGACGAACTCATAATTGAAAATACCTTGTTCAAACCTCCTAAACGTAGATTATACGCATGGAGGTCTCCAGCTGACAATACCAACAAAATAGTCAGAAATCAAATATATTACACATATATTGGAAAATAATAAAAAACTCTGGGACACGTTAACTTTTAAATTTAAATGTGCGCTTTTTAAACATAAATTTAAATGTACATGGTGATCCAAGCAAGTCTGGCATAGTCCATAATCCTTATTTTTAATGAAACACCCTGTATATTTTTATGTTTTTAAAAGATTCTTAACAACCTGATTTCAATGAACTATATCATGTAGGGTCTATAATGAATAATACAAGGTAAAATTTTAAAAATCAATAATTTATCACGTTTTAAAATTTCAGTTAGTAACGTGTTAAATTTTTGTCATGAATAGTAAAACTGTCGAGACAGTCTGCTAATTAAACTAAATCGGTAAATAATGCGGATCGTTATCAATCAGTTGTCGGTGTGTCGACATTTTACATTAAAATAATAAATTCCTAATTAAAAGCTAATTTCTTGCAGAAATAAAAATGAAATATTTAACTGAGACTCACCGAATTGAGATTTTAATGATGATCGGTTACGGGGAGAATTGTAGAAGTCAAGTTGAAGTAGCAAACTTATTTAATCAGAGGTATCCTCAGTTGCCTAATATTTCACAAGGTACTGTGTCTAAAATTTATGCACACATCAGAGAACTTGGACTTGTCAAACCATTAAAAAGAAAACCGAACTTCATTGAAGATGAGGTGAAAGTGGATATTTTGTTAAGTGTCGCAGAGAATCCAACGTCAAGTTCACGTCAAATTGCACGTCAAAATAATGTGAGTCACACAATTATCCTAAGGTGTCTCCATGAAGAAAAACTTCATCCATATAAATTGACTTTTGTGCAGGAGCTAACAGAAGACAATCCAGATCGTAGAATGGATTTCTGCGAAAGAATGATGGATAAAATTAACACAAATGAAATAACTCTTGGCACAATTATTTTTTCTGATGAATCAACATTTACATTGAACGGAGAGGTAAACCGGCAAAACTGTAGATATTGGTCAGCGGAGAATCCTCATTGGATGCGTGAGACACACAGTCAGTATCCTCAAAAGTTGAATGTTTGGACAGGTATTATAGGAGATCATATTGTTGGTCCTATATTTGTATATGGTAATTTGACAACGGAAAAATATTTAAGCATGCGAATGAGACGATGTTCTTCCTCAGTTGGCTAACTTATATTCCAATCCAATAGATCCGACCCTACCGCATGAAACTGTCTGGTTCCAGCAGGACGGTGCAACACCCATTATGCTTTAATGGTGAGAAATTACTTGAATGAAATCTTCTTCAATAAATGGATTGGACGAAGGGGTACTATTGAGTGGCCAGCTAGGTCGCCAGATCTTACGCCTTTGGATTTTTTTCTGTGGGGTTATCTGAAGAACAAAGTATATGCAACACAACCAACTAGCATTGAAGACCTCAAAGAAAGGATAACTACAGAAATACGGAATATTTCACCTCAAACTTTAAACAAAGTTCGGGACGAGTTTTATAGGAGACTGTGTTATTGCCAACAACAAGGTGGAGAACATTTTGAGCATTTATTTTAATGTAATCCAATTAATTACCTAGGGTATTCTATGAATTAATTGTCTTAAAATTATACTTAATTTCAAAATTTCACCTTGTATTATTCACAATAGACCCTACATGATATAGTTCGTTGAGATCAGGTTGTTAAGGAGCTTTTAAAAACATAAAAATATACAGGGTGTTTCATTTAAAATACAGATTATGAACTATGCCAGACTTGCGTGGATCACCCTGTACATTCAAATTTATGTTTAAAAAGCGACACATTTAAATTTAAAGGTTAAGGTATCTCAAGTTTAGGTTTTTTTATTATTTTCTAAAATAAGGACACAAACAATTTTATTCCATAAGTGGTTTCCACACTGTATAATATCATCCAAAACTTATCCAGAAGCGAACATATTCTCCGATCACAATCCGGTTGTTTTGTCGATAAGATTGAAACTAAAGAATGTAAAGCATCCTAGCTACAAGAAAATCATGGATACAAGGCGGCTCAAGACAACACATATGCGGAACGGACAACGCTTTACAAGACAACACATATGCGAAAACGAAATTTAAAATAAACGAAAACTTAAGGAAAGTCAAAGAAGATAATGCAGAAACTCTACTATTGACCAAAAATGGGGAAAAATTCAACATGCTCTCGTGTCATTTGGAAAAGAAACACTCAAACCATTTTGGGAAAAAAACAAAACTTGGATGACAGTAGAAATTCTTGAACTTATAAAAGAACGAAAAAAACATAAAGCAAAAGACCTGCATAACTACAAAGAAATTCAGAAACACATCAGAAAGAAAATTCGAGAGACAAAAGAGAGGTGGTTCTCCTACAGATGCAAGGAAATAGAAGATCTGGATAAAAAGTATGATAGCTTAAATTTACGCAAAAAATCAAAGAAATGACGGTTCCAAAAAAAGCACAAGAACAAATATCCTTAAAAATGATAAAGGAGATATTATTACTGATATGAAGGAAAGGTTGTGTATCTGGGCCAATTACATACAAAAGCATTTAATGATGAATAACAGAAAAAACTACCGTTAGAACCACACATCATACACGACCACCAAAATGAACGGAATAATTCATCTACACCAATCAAAAACACAAAAGAACAAAAAACCTATCGGAACCAGAAGATGTGCCCAATCGAATTATAAAACTCATTCATTTGACGATTTATTGGTGTAATTGAATCTTTTACTATAATATAACAGACTGCCACAATCCCCAACAATGCTACAATCGACCTTTCGCATGTTGGCAATCACCCAAAAAGTCAAATGCAATATTCTGCAAAGATCGACAGAACAATAGCTTTAATGAGTCACACACTTAAAACATTTTTGAAAATAAATGCACAGCAGAATGTGTAAAACTTTTGAATATGAAATTAGTGAAAACAATTTGGCTATAGAAATAGCATGAGAACAAGAGATGCATGTTCGGCTTGTAATGTGCGAGAAGATAATGGATATGATTAGACACTACATATGTTTTGTGATTTTGAAAAGTGCATTAATAAGTATCAACATAAAATACCTGTAAAAATTATTAAAAAACAAAAATATTTACAGACGTGATAGTGAAAATCATACCAAATCTAATAAACTGAAATCAAACTGCCAAGGTAATAGTTGACAACCTGAACACCCGAGATATCAAAATACAGAAAGGAGTCCGCCAGGTTGAGTGCTGATTCACCAATTACTTTTTCAAAGTCTACAGTGAAGCGATATTTAAAAAAAAACGATCTCAAGTTCAATAGAAGGTATATCTATCAATAGAGAAGAATTGAATAACTCGTGTTTTGCAGACGATACAGTATTAATGACGGATAACAACAATGATTTACAGAACGTAATGCAACGACTTAATGAATGCTATCATGAATACGAACTAAGGATGAATTTGAAAAAAAAACTAAATGTATGATCATGACTAAATCAGCAGATGCAAAACATCCAATTGATTGTTGAGGATACTGTAATTGAGAGTGTGGATACCTACAAATACTTATGAATATGGATAACATCAAATGTAGACCAAACTAAAGAAATTAACCACGAATACCATTGACTAAAAGAATGTCAAATGCAGAAGTTACTAGAAGAATAGGAAATGAAGCTGAAATAATATTGACTACCAAAAGCAAACTTTTAGGCCGTGTTATGGGAGGGCAAAGATACTCATTATTGCAGCTTATTATGCAACTAGGCAAAATTCGAAGAAATGTGGGAAGACGAAGAATATCGTGGCTTAAGAACTTCAGGGAATGGTTTGAACGCAGTAATGCAAAACTATTTAGAGCAACAGTCAACAGGGTCTGCATAGCCATGATGATTTCCAACCTTCGATAGCAGATGGAACTTAAAAGAAGAAGCAGGGACTGCTTTGCGTCAGTTCTCTGTCCCACTGGAGAAACACGACTGTACTGCAGCAGTCAGTCTTACCTTGTCTTATATGTCTATGTTTGTGGACATAGAGACATAAAAAAGGAGAAGGTAGAGGAGGAAGTTTAAATATTATCTGGAATATGTAATATAGTAGTCTAACACAAAACAAACGCTTACTTTTCTTCTTAAGCCACAAATTGTGTCACAATCTACAATTCTTTCCACATTAAATTGGGAAACATCTTCCTCAACTCTTTTTTCTGAATTAAATCGTCTTCAAACTTAAGCTCAAACGCTTTTGTATAAAAGAAACCGTGTAATCATTGTTAACCGTGTGAAAAGCAAATTCAAAGTCCAAAAATAAAACTGTCGTTGAAATTAGATTGAAAAAGCTGTGAACTTGGTTAATCCATTAGCGTGATAGTCGGTTCAAAAATGCTAGCCAATATTTTTTTCAGACAAACACCATACTCACAGCACTACCTACTAGGTCAATATTATTCTGTGCGAACGATTTTCGCCGGTTTTCCCTGTTTTCCCAAAGTTACCTGGTATTTCGCCATCACTCGACGACGTTCTATAAATTATGTCAACATTTGGGTCTTTTGTTTACTCAATATATAAATTACATAGTATATTTTTAAATATTCAAAATATGTTCTTATCACATCAAAATATAATTCGTCTAGAAAGTATGCAGCGGTTTTATTATTTTTCCCTTGAGTTTATTGGTATTATGTGTCTTTTGAAGGGACCTGAAAGGCAGCCTTTTGTTAAATAAATGACAGTGATCCTGAGAAAACTTGGCTGTATTTACAACAGAAAATACCTTAAATTTTCAAGAATTATACCACATCGACTACCACAAAGGATAAACAATTTTATTAGAGTGAGAACGGACAGTGATTACAGAATACTTTCGAAAGAAATAAGGCGTAAGTGTCGTTAAGATAAATATTAGATACATCGCCCATCGAAGAATATGGCTTTCACAACCAACCAGAAAGTTAAACTCCTTACCGCAAAGTAAAAACCTCAAACGTGGACTGAAGCAGATTAACAATGAAATCTACAAATCAACATTGATAAAATATTAGAAACGTGGAAAAACTATTGTGAAAGTCTATTAAGTAAAGCATAAAGTTCCATTTGACAATATATTACTAACTAGCATGGACCACTGGTTTCGAGCACTACAATTATCATCATCATCAGTTTCCTGATAAGGTTATTTAACCATTTAAGGAGAAGCTGCATTTGTAACAACTTATAAATTATGTCAATATCTATTTCGTATCTTCTTTAACGGTTAAGTATCCTTATCAGGACCTGATGATGAAGAAAATTGTAGTGATCGAAATCGGCTGTCCACGTTACCATTTATCTGATTATGAGTAAGTATTTTCTTTTTATTAAGAAACTGGAGACATGTACAAACGATTAATCATTTTAGTAACAGAAGGAATTACATTTGAACCTTGATATAACAATGGTGTACCATAGATGCCGATTCCCTACGCTAAAATAAAAGTGTATTTACTAGAAGAAGGAAGTATAAAAGAAATTTTAGAGCTAGCCAGCGAAATGAGATTCGCTAAAACCTGGAACTCAGACGAAGAAGAGTTAGATATTGGAAAAAAATACATAGGAATGAGGGTAATGGCTTAAGCTCACAAATGCTACAGCGAAAAGAACAGAAGAAGCAACCTCTGCGCTCACATCATTCTAAACAATTCTTCTTCTTTAAGTGCCGTCTCCCAATCGGAGGTTGGATATCATCATCACTATCTTTACTCTATCTACTGCTGCTCTGAAGAGTTCTATAGAACTGCATTTAAACCAGTCCCTTAAATTCTTCAACCATGACACTCTCTTCCTATACTCCTTCCTCCTCTTATCTTTCCCTGTATTATCAGCCTTAGCAGTTCATATCGCTGTCCCTCATTACGTGTCCCAGATATTGTAACTTTCTTATTTTTATTGTGTTTATTATTTCGCATTCTTTGACCATTTCTCGCAATACTTCCGTGTTAATTTTCTTCTATGTCCATGCTATTCTAACTTATTTATGTGTTCTTGCTTCAATGTCCAGCTTTCAAGTCCATATTGCAGTATCAAAAACACGTACCATCTCAGTGCTCTTACTCTCAGTTCTAATCTAAGGTCTTTGTTGCAGAGAATTGTTTTCATTTTTACAAACGCATTTCTTGCTATTTCGATCCTGGCTCTTATTTCGGTTGTTTGATCATTATTGTCTGAAATCCAGGTTTCTAGGTATTTGTATTTATCAACCCTTTCTATCGCTACATTTCCCGAATGTATGTTTGTGGTATATTTGTTTTCTTTGTTATTATCATGTGTTTGGTCTTTTTTATATTCATTTTTAGTCCATATTTTCACAGAAACGGTTTGTTTTGTTTAGCAGTAATTGGAGTTGTTCAGCAGAGCTTGCCATAATACAGTGTCATCTTGCATAAGGAACAACAAAATAACCATGGGACCGGGGGCGTATTGGACCCAGACAAATGCAATCAGGGAAGTAAGAGGCTCATCCTAGCTCAGTAAACAAAATCTTCTAAAAGATAAATGAATGCAAATGAAATGACGTATTGAAGGGGGGTCTATCTCGGTTTTCGGAGTGTTGAGGTTTTCTTTGACACGTAAAGACTTCGACATACAGCCAATATGACTACGCAATCCCTTAAGGGTACGGTTTCCTAGGATCGAGCCTAACCAAGCGAAGGCGAAAAAATGATTCGTCAGAGATATTCCGATTGCCGTCAGTTACGAAGATGGTTTCTCTCTCATAAAGAACGAGCTCCTCTGAATTGTCAGTCGAAATGGATAATACAAAGAGAAAAGTCTGTTCGCTATTATTATTAAGGAATATGAAGAAGAGAGCTATTGTTTAATATAGCAAATTACAATAACGGAATTATATTTGAATCCAGAAACGGAAGGCATATTTAAGTTATTAGGCTTGATCTAAGATAATTATACCCTATTACAGAATATTTCGGGAATATTTAAGATTAAGAAAGGATTTTTTTAAATAGTCCTATCTTTTATAGTATAATATACATATAGATACATTTTTCTTCAGTTTTAAGCAAACACATCCATTTTTTGGTGGTGATTTTTACTACCGAATTCTCAATTCGGTTTCCGTCTGTAATGTAATGTAAGTCAACGTGACCGACAGCGGTGAGGAACCACATATTAAGGAGCTCCTTCTTACAGAATTCTCCACCACAAGCTCAAGCGGGGTTTTGCGTGAAGATTTTTTGTTAGATTCTTAAAAAAGGACAATACAAAGCTTGCCTTGGTTTCCGTCGAAATGTCCTGCGACTGAACGTGACCGACAGCTGAAACCGAAAAGTCAGTGAAATTTTCCGTCACTGATTACAGCGGGGCTTAAGAAATCGCCAGCATATTATAATTATTCGCACTGAATCTAAAGTCGGCTGATGGAGCCTTCGAGGAATCCACACAGGCCCTCGTTCTGCGAAATTTTGCACCACTGCTCAAGCAGTGTTCTGGGTAAAGATTTTTTTGTAGGTTCGTAAAAAAAGAAAATACAAAGACTGGCAGACCAAACTAAAGTCAGTGAAATTTTCCGTCGCCGACTACAGTGGTATTATAATTCTTCCTATTGAATCTGAAGTCGGCTGCATTCGGAATTTGGACCACAGAAGCTAAAGCGGTGGTCTGGGCGGAGTTTTTTTAATAGATAAAAGAAGATCTTTTATTCTTTAAAAAGGAGTATACAAAGCTTGTCTTGGTCGAAGTCGTAATGAAAACACATTGGGGAAGGAAAATATGCGGCGCCTTGACCGAGACCTGACTTATCGACAGTAATTAAGGACATGTAAAAATGTTTGCGGTTGGGAAATAGCATGTAATTTAGGAAGTACGATTTTTTTATTTAGTTAATTATTTTCAAAACAATTTGTTTATTAATTTATTATCTGCACATTTTCTAAACGAATTATATATTTCATACGTAAATATCTTTTTTTTTTAAGAATTCCCTTTTATAATCACAATATGTTCTTTTGTGTTTAAAAAACACCATATTGGCAAAAATTGTTTGATAATTCCACCCCAAATTACTATAATTCAATAATAACCAATATACATTCATTTTTGTCATGAATTTTTATTGAATTCTTTTAAAATCAAGCCATCCCTTCGTTTAAACTCATCATACCAATTACAAAGCTTTAAAATAGTTCACAAAAAAAAAACTAAAACTTGTAATCTACCCAAACCGATATTTTTTTCTAGCGGTTGTCATCACGTCAATTCTAAAATTATAGAATTATTCGCTGTTAACAACGTGGAAGAGTATAACGATGAGGTAGATTGATAAAAACAAGTGAATCGGAAATGTATAAAATCACAAATTTCACAATTTCCAATTATTTAACGTCAATAATGGACTAAAATGTTGCCGATGGTAAAAATGTGAATATTATGATTGATTGAAAACTGAACAGGTATTTTACGAAATTTAAAAAACGTTACAAAGAACGGCTTCATCGAAAATATGTTTTTTACCAATTTCACTATACTACTGTTGGCAAAAATATTGTTTTTGGTAGTAATGAAGAACAAAATTTTACGTAAGAATGTGCACCATAAGAAAATGAAGTATAGAAAAAATTAGTATTGAATTTTTGTTATATACTTTAGGCATTCAAAAAATGAGATAACTACTTGAAATTTCCATCATAAGCGAAGTTTTTAACCTCGAAATGAAATTGCACAACGAAAAAAACAACTGGTTTGTTTAATATCGATAATGCCATTATGAAACAAATTACCGAAAAACGAAGAGGTTAGAAACGAATATTGCATTGATAGATTTTGAAACAGCATTCGAGTGAGCCGATAAAAACAAATTATTTAAAATGATAAAAAATCAATAAAAACAAACCAAGATAAATATCAACTAAAAATCAGATTATATATCCCAGTCTGGTTAAAAAAAAGTCGAAAAATTTTTCGCAGATATCTGAATCTTCTAAGACAAAGGTGGGGATTACTAGGTGACGAATAGATGAAAAAGTGCGTTTTATTTAACAAATCACATGGATCACATCAAGAATCTATGGGTCACAATTTGATTTTTATCTAATATAAGTTTTTTCTCTTATATTTTACATAAACAATATTTATATCATTTTTTTATATCAAGAATCTTTATTATCCCGTTTTTTAAATTAAAATTGATAAATAATTTACATAGATATTTGCAAAAAAAAAACAGTTTTTTGCACTAATTTATAAATTTTTATAAGTTTTTTATTAACAAAAAATTGTAACATGACATATTGAACATTGTAATACATTTGAACATCGAGGTACGAAATTCTCCCCCCCCCCCCTCAGTCAAATAGTTTAAAAGTTATTTAATTTTATTTATTAGTCCAGGCTGTGAGGCCGCTCCCGTTGGGAAAATGTTTCTGATTCGGTTTCTTCGCGGATTCCGGTTCAAAAATGTCCCCTTTAAACAAATCTGAAGGGTGCCGGGCGAAATTTTTGGGCAGAAATTGTTTAAACAATTTTTTTTAA